TCGCGCCGCCGGCCCGTGGCAGCCTGCCGCCACTTCAGACTGCCGGAGCGCGCCTCCGCCGCCTTCCCGGCAGCATCGTCCACGGCAGGGGGCTGTTATAGGAAGCGCGCCCGTGCGCGGCACCGTCGCCCTCAAGGGCGCGCACGCACGCACTGCTCATACTCCGTGAGTGCCGGAGCTAAGCGACCTCTCCTGTTGGAGCGCTGTGATTTTAAAGTAGCTTCTTTGCGAAAAAGATTCTCTGATCACCCTTTCTAAAAGTATCCTCCAGGCCCCACGTTGTAACCAGGTCTTAAGCTTGTTTGTCATTTGACTCTGACTACTTTCTGCGACAAAAGGCTAGCCGGACCGCCCCCGCAGCCCAGTGGGCGCCCCAGATCCACAGAAATGCCTGGATGCAACCATTGTGGTTGCAAAAAGAACGATCCTTTTTTTTTGTTTGGTCAGAAACGAAGACAAATAGAAATTTCCCTTAACCCCACTACTTGGGGATCAATCTTTAACATTTTTCTGTCTCTTTTCATGGATATATGCTCTTTTATTTCCCAAAAGCTCTTAGTCAGCAAATTTTGGTAACTATAAGACTTTTTTACGCGTTATTTTTTATAATCAATCTATGTCACTATAATAAACCTGCAGCTCCCTGACTTCAACACTTCCCAATCATCTGATACAGTGTTCACTTTCTGCATGTGTGTAGTTGTGTGTCTATCTGATGCTGTTTTATCTATCTTTGCCTCTTTATACATCTGTATGCATCTGCATGTGTTATTTGTGTGTATGCTTCACACACAGAAGTGGGTGTATATGTTATCATGTATTCGAGGGTGTCCCTGTCCCCAGAAGAGGTTAAGAATCACAGATAACACCTCATCTTTTTAAAAGATGCCAAGAGAGCCTAAGATGCCCACCAAGGTGGTCAAACCTGTACTACAAGCCCCCTTTCTGTGAGGCTTCCAACTGTTGCTGCCTGGCCTGGGGCAGGCCCTGGCCTGATGCAAAGCCTCTTGACTCCACAGTGCTTGTGGGGGTGCAGCTGCTCTTGGGCCAGGCCCCCTAGGCCACAGTTGCTCCACTCACTAGGATGGTGAGGCTCTTACAAGGTAGTTATTTTTATCATCTGGAGAGGCTAGGGGAAGAGAAAGGCCCATAGACAGGAAGCCCTGGAACTTGATTTTCTCTCTCATGTGAGAGGGATGGATTTGATTTAGAGATAAGTGGCCTCCATTTGTCAAGCTTCAGCCCCCAGATACTGTGCCCAGTATCATACAGGAAGAGACTGAGAAGAAGAGGGTGAGGGCTGAGAAGTACTCCATCAAAGAGCATTAAAAACCACAAAAGTCAGCAAACATACTTTTGTTTGGGCAGCCAATGATACCTACTAAGCCACGACTCTGTTGCAAAAGGCTTCCGGCTGGGAATGTGCTGTGTGAACAGGGCTCTCAATTCAGGCAGGAGGCCTCACTTAAAGGATGGCATATTCCTTACACGTTTTTAAATGGCTCTCAGTACTCAAGAAAAGGGAGCTCTGGTAGCGTAGTGGTTACGAATCGGGCTGCGAACCTTAAGGTCAGCGGTTCGAAACTATCAGCCGCTCCGCGGGAGAAAGATAAGGCTTTCTACTCCCATAAACATTTACACCCTCGGAAACCCTGTACAGGGTCGCTATGCGTCGGAACCGACTCGACAGCACTTAACAACAACTCAAGAAACTCCTGTCTTGAGGGACTCCTTACTACTATATCTCTTTTCTCAGTGACTTCTTGAGGCAATCTGTGATAGAGACAGTGAAAAAGCTGCCAATTAGGCTTGGGCCCCTGGCACTGATCATAATTTAAATTCTCTGAATCTAGGTTACCTCCTTCATAAAAATGAGATGATGATGCTTGACCTACAGGGCTTTTACAGGGTTTAATCAGAGAGGGCGTAAATGAAAGTCTTAGCAAGGCAGTGGGTGGGGATCACACCTGTTGTTATTGTTATGATAACGAATCCCATCCCTTTAATGGTCACCTCCTGTGAAAGTTTCATCACCCATTCCCAGCACCAGTTACTTCAGAACAGTTCAAACTGGGGTTCCTTTGGAACTTAATTGCATTCAACAGCACTGTGCCTGGCCCAAGGCCAGAACTCAATAAACATTCATGTTTTCAGTGAACAAATGTTTATAATATGCCTGCTGCATGCTGGGTATGCTAGGTAATGGGGACTTAAGGGTGAGCAAGGTACTCCCTTGAAGATTTATAATAAACAAATGTTTGTTACATGCTTTCATTAGTGCTAAGTAGAAAAAGTAAGTGGTTCTCAAAGTGTGGTTCCAGAACCGGCAATATCAGCATCACCAGGATACCTATAGAAATGTAAATTCCAGAGTCCCACCCCAGATATACAGAATTAGCTATCTGTGTTTTCATTGTCTCTGCAGGTGGTTGTTGTTAAATACCACTGAGCGTTCCCTGTATAGGGTTTCTGAAGAGCAACTGGTGAGTTTGAACTGCAAACATTTGTGGTTAGCAGCCCAGTGTTTATCCACGAGGAAGGGTGAAAAGAGTTTGCACTCAATTGTTAACCTAAAGGTTGGCAATTCAAACCCTCCTAGCAGTGCCCTCTGGAGTGTGGTAAAGGGTAAGCACTGGACTGGAAACAACAAGGTTGGCGGTTTGAGCCCCCCAGCTGCTCCATGGGAGAAAAATGAAGCTTTCTGCTCCCACAAATATTTATAGCCTCAGAAACCCTACACAGGATCACTGTGAGTCAGACCCAAATTAACAACATTTCACAACAGCAGTACCATTGAAAAAGACCTGTTTCCATTAAAACAATAGCTAAGTAAACCCTACAGAGCAGTTTTGTGTCAATAACCTCAGTTCCTCTTGGTAGCTGGTGGGTTGGTATAAACCTCCAACTAGTACCTTACCCCGATGTGTCTCCAGAGGGAGAACTAGGGCGGACAGCCTTAGCCCATATGAGGTCAGCAATGAATTATTTATATAGTGTGCTCAAGAAATCTAATCTGTACTCCTTTTAGCAAGAGTGAGGCTATATTAGTCGATTTTTCAAAATCAAGAGCCAAACCCAGAAAAAAGACAGGGAAGCATGCTGTGTTTTTATTTCCTAGATCGAAAGTCCCTTATGGAGTTCCTCATTGACTGAGTACTATGGGGTGAACAGTCTTCCTGTTGTTGTTGTTATGTGCTGGGGAGTCGGTTCCGACTCACAGTGACCCTGTACAGGGTTTCCGAGGCTGTAAATCTTTGTGGAAGCAGAAAGCCTCACCTTTCTCCCGCGGAACAGTTGGTGGTTTCGAACTGCTGACCTTGTGGTTCGCAGCCCGATTCGTAACCACTACGCTACCAGAGCTCCTTTCCTAAAGCCCAATTTAATTCTCCTTCCACATGCCTTAGAATCTACAAGGGGTTTTTGGTTCGGCAGGCACTGGCTGGCTTAGTCAGCATCATCTGATTAGTGTCTCTTCTCTGGATTATGCCACCAGCCATCTCCTTGGCCTGTCTGCTTTCACCAGTACGCCTTCATTCCATTCTCAACACATCACACGGAGCTATCCTGTTAAACTGCAATCACGTCACGCCTGGCTCAGACACTTCCAACGGTTCCCCCAATCCACCTAGAATCAAAGTCAAATTGTCAAGAAAGTTCTTACCTTCCTCCCTTACCTTATGACCTCATTTCCTTCTACGCTCCCTCTTCTCACTCAATTCTATGGTTTCCTTACTATTCTACCAACAAACCAGACACAACCCTACTTCAGGGCTTTCACACATGCTATTTCCTCTGCCTGTATTGCTGTTCCCTCTGACAGCTACATGTCTTGAGCTTTCACCTCATTTCAAGTCTATACTCAATGTTAACTTCTGAATAAGATGAAAATTGCATACTTCCCAACACCAAGGAAATGGGTTCTCAGTCTCCCCACTTCTGTCTCTATGGGGTACTTAGTCTCACATACTCCCCAGACACCCCACACCCACCAACCCATCTCTAGATAGTAACTCTCCTTCCCCTCCCACTGCCAAGGTGTGGGTGGCAGCGTTTGAAATTTCCCAATTAGCCTCAGTGTGAAAATGCTGGGAAGCCCTGACCTCAGTCTCCCGGAGCGGGGGTGGAAATGAAGACCACAGCCTCCACCACACTCCACACACACCCCCTGCTCTAGGTTTGGTTTGTCACAGTGGTTGACCTTTTCCTTCTCTTGGAGACAAATTTCAGAAGGCCTGGGAAATGCCATCATTAGGAATTGTGGCTTCACTAGTCCTTAAAAAAGACCAGCCTTGGGCTTGGGATGTTATGGAGTGGGCGGCTGATGGAGTGAAAGGAAGAACAGGGTTTAAGGAGGAATTGAGTGGATTTCCCTGGGCGGGGGTGATGTGAGGTCCAGGACCCCTGGATAACAGGACAGTCCTTGTGTAGAGTCTACTGCTGGACTCAGCATATCAGCTGACTGCATCCATTCCACTGTGGGGTAGAGGCTGAAAAGGAACAGTTCTAGATTATGACAACTTGGCAAAGAGCAGTTGGGCACATATATACTCTCTGAGTACAACAGTTTACTTTTGTAACCCTTCTTCCTCCACAAATAATATGTCCATCATTTGTATCTTAAAAGAGTGAAGTAGTAGGGAAGTATATAGTGTGACTGTTCTCTACATACACCTTCATCTCTCTCCTGCACCTCCCAATATACCATGGTA